TTTAGGTATCACTGAGTTATAGCTACAATGCAGTGTTCTATTGATAACACCTAACTCTTTTTTTTTTTTTTTGTAGGGCATTTTAAAATTTCCTAGTTGTTTAGTATTCCTAATAATTATTTCTGTTAAGACTTAATAAAGTGATCATGTATTAGAATAACAATTGAATTCTGTATTATTGATGCCATATTGTAGTTAAAAATTAATTTTAAAATCATAGAATACTGTATTAAAAGTTGAAATAGCTACATTCTTTCTGCAATTTGTATAAGACATATTAAGCTTAGTATAGATTAACATGTAAACCACTGTTGGTACATTTAGCTTCCAGTAACTTGTTCAAAATAATGTACTGGCCATTTGAGAACTCAAATTCAGAGAGTTTTAATTTTTCCATTAGCTTAGCTAGGTCAATAACATAATACATTAGCTTAGCTAGGTCAATAACATAATACATTAGCTTAGCTAGGTCAATAACATAATACATTAGCTTAGCTTGGACAATAACATAATACATTAGCTTAGCTAGGTCAATAACATAATACATTAGCTTAGCTAGGTCAATAACATAGTACATTAGCTTAGCTAGGCCAATAACATAGTACATTAGCTTAGCTAGGCTAATAACATAGTACATTAGCTTAGCTAGGCCAATAACATAGTACATTAGCTTAGCTAGGCCAATAACATAATACATTAGCTTAGCTAGGTCAATAACATAATACATTAGCTTAGCTAGGTCAATAACATAATACATTAGCTTAGCTAGGCCAATAACATAATTTAGCTTAGCTAGGCCAATAACATAATACATTAGCTTAGCTAGGTCAATAACATAATACATTAGCTTAGTTAGGCCAATAACATAGTACATTAGCTTAGCTAGGTCAATAACATAGTACATTAGCTTAGCTAGGTCAATAACATAGTACATTAGCTTAGCTAGGCCAGTAACATAATACACTGTTTGATTAATCTGTATACAGGTGTTTAAAATGAAAAAAATATTGGTATTTAACTTGTATATCTACTTTTAGTCTATTTATAATCACATACAGAAGTATTGGCATCCTATGGTTATTATACAAGAAGTAAAGGTAACAAATTAAGGATAAGCACTTAGTGAGCTTTAATCAGTTTTAATATTACAAAAATGCAAAATACCGCTTTCTAAAAATTTAACAAATAATCACTTAAAAAAAAAAAAAAACTTGTGTCATTTAAAATAGTTGTTCAAGACCAGATTATTGGCACCCATGCTTTATTATTTTGTATGTCTTTCTTTTGCTTTGATTACAACTTTCAGACATTTGTGATAATTCTCAACCAGTGCATTACATTTTGTTGGAGAAATCTGAGTCCATTCTATCTTACATATTTCCTTATCTCAAACAGCTTGAAGAGAGAATGCTTGCTTACAGCTTTTTTTAGGTCAGAACAAAGCAGTTCTATTAGATTGAGATCTGCTGAATGTGATAGCCATTCCAAAACTTTTATCTTTGATTTCTTTGGCTCTGTTTGATGACAGAGTTCGGATAACTACTAAACGTGAAATGGTGAAGAATCTTGATATTCCAGAGAAGAAAGAAAACATTCATCAACTAGAGGGGAAGAAGTTTAATATGAAGGCTCCTTTGTAATCCTATGTAACAAAGAGGACTCAACATATTCAATGTCTTAAATTTAAACAGGAAAGAGAAAGCAAAGGCATTCCTGGAGAAAGACCTGGCAGGCTGGAAAGGAATTCCAGAATATGAAGAAATGCATAAGGCAGTTGCTGGGTTGAAAGTTGTGAATGATTGCAGAAAGAGAGGTATTGGTCTGATTCAAACATTCAACTCTTTTATTACTAAAGACAATGATTAAAAGCAGCACCTTCTCCACACAGTTAAACTACTCCAAAAGACATTTCCGAACCACAGAAAGGAATATTGGATGTCATAAGTGATATGATAGATTGTTGTGTGATTATTATAGTTATATGCTATTCAGATATGCAGGCACTATTAAAAATTTCATTCAGTTTGCAAGTGATTTTTGCAGATTTGTTTTTTTTACTGAATAAATATTACAATAATATCTATTTTGTTTGCCCTTCCTTGTAATGTATCTTGGACTACCCTAATATTCATTCACATGAATTTCTCCAGTCCCTACACTTCTAAAACAACCCATATCACAATCAGAGCACCTCCATGTTTAACTGTAGGAACAAGATGTTCATCACCATGTATCATTATCAGAGCACCTCCGTGTTTAACTGTAGGAACAAGATGTTCAACACCATATATCATTATCAGAGCACCTCCATGTTTAACAGTAGGAACAAGATGTTCATCACCATATATCATTATCAGAGCACCTCCATGTTTAACTCTAGGAACAAGATATTCATCACCTTATTTCATTATCAGAGCACCTCCATGTTTAACTGTAGGAACAAGATGTTCATCACCATATATCATTATCAGAGCACCTCCATGTTTAACTCTAGGAACAAGATGTTCATCACCCTATTTCATTATCAGAGCACCTCCATGTTTAACTGTAAGCACAAGATGTTCATCACTCTATATCATTATCAGAGCACCTCCATGTTTAACTGTAAGCACAAGATGTTCATCACTCTATATCATTATCAGGCCATCTCCATGTTTTATTGTAAGCACAAGATGTCCATCACTCTATATCATTATCAGGCCACCTCCATGTTTAACTGTAGGAACAAGATGTTCATCACCCTATTTCATTATCAGAGCACCTCCATATTTAACTGTAAGCACAAGATGTTCATCACTATATCATTATCAGGCCACCTCCATGTTTAATTGTAAGCACAAGATGTTAGTCACTCTATATCATTATCAGGCCACCTCCATGTTTAATTGTAAGCACAAGATGTTAGTCACTCTATATCATTATCAGGCCACCTCCATGTTTAACTGTAAGCACAAGATGTTCATCACTCTATATCATTATCAGGCCACCTCCATGTTTAACTGTAAGCACAAGATGTTCATCACTATATCATTATCAGGCCACCTCCATGTTTAACTGTAAGCACAAGATGTTCGTCACTCTATATCATTATCAGGCCACCTCCATGTTTAATTGTAGGTACAAGATGTTCATCACCCTATATGAATACAACTCATTTGTCTTGACCATCAACATATGTTGACAGCCATTACCTCTTTTTCTGGCTATTAACTTTATAATGTCAATAAATTACTGTGCAGTGGTTCTCAGTTAATTAATACGTTTTAATTAGCTATATTGAGGTTCTTATACTTTTAATGAAAGGTGCTAATGATATTTTTATGTATAAATATTTAAATCATTTTAAGGACTTTAGTTTTTGTATAAAAGTTATTTGTTAATCTACCAGAAATTGTGTATTTTGGTCTTTGTCACATTAATTATAGGTTAATTCACTAATTACTTTTAGTTTACAATTTGTCTTGAATTATCTTATATAGAGTGTAGGGTGCCAGTACATCTGTTACAAAACCTACAAATGTACATCTTAATCATAAAAAGAGAAAATTATTTTTCAGATAAACACTGTTGTAAACTCGTATTTTAAATCAACAGAAATAGTTTTAAAGAGCTTGCAAGTTTTTGTGTTATTATTTTTTTCATTTTTAAGTTATTTCGGTAAAGAATATACTTGGCTTACTTATGTTGACTTATCAACTTTTAAGGTGTTTTTGCACTGGTGGAGACAGTCCCTAGTTCCCACAAGTTCAAATTAAGTATTCTTCAACCTAATGATCCTAAGACTTTCTTCAAAACAGTTAAAAAAGAGGTAAGAGTCTGATTAATGAAAATAAAATGTGTATAAGACTTTTCAAAAAAATTATAAAAAACTTAGATCATTTAAATAAAAGAATCAGTCCTGGAATTAATTCCAAGAAGCCCAAGGTTATGATTTTTTTTTTTAAACAATCAAGTGTACAAGAACAAGGAAGTTTAAGTTCCACTACTAGGTATAAAAGTTGAATATGTCATGCAGGGTATAGTTAAATTTAGAACACTTAATTTATGTTTTTATTGTTTTCCTTAAAGAGTTAAAAGCTTGTAATGAATAAAGAAATAATAATGATACATAAAATGCTAGGTATTAATGTTTTTTTTATTCATAAAAATGTATTTTTCATTTCTTTCACTTATAGTATATATTTTGCAACTGAAGGTGAGATGTTAGATCTGAGAAATACAAATTCATTAGACAAAATTGTAATTATTCTTGCTGATATTTTAGATCAAAACAAACATGAAATTAAAGTTGATGATGATAATATTATAAACTTATTAGAAATTATGAGTGTGGTCACTGTTTTCTATCTTGATTATAGTATGCCAAGCAGATATCAAGTAATTTATTGTACATAAGTCATAACATTAATCAGTTAGAGAGGGTATTTTATTTCATTTGTAATGTTGGGAAATGTTTAATGGTGATTATTCTTCATTTTTAATACCTGAAATACAATATAATAATGATACTGGTTTTTAGTTTTTAGATATATTAAGATTGACAGTTCTATAAAACATTATATGATGAAATAATTTATTAGGTCCATTAACTATATTATGGGTTTGGAAAAGTTAAACCCAAAAATTGTCTAATTTAGAGGTTACATTAATAATTGTTTTATGCTAGTATACTTGATAAAAATTTATTAATCTACAGAATAAGATGATGTTAGTGTAACACCATTTTCTCTTCTGTAAGGTGTGGCCAGTCATGGTCTAGTGGTTAACATGTAATACTTTGATCAGAGGATTCAAGGTTTAACCTATTTTATGCCACTGAATCTACTATACATTTTTGGTTGTGAGACCATGTGTTATAATTATGATAGTCAGTCTTGCTATTTGATAGAGTAGTTGCATTATATGCAGCTGGTGCTGTGGACTGGTTATCCTAATTTTGCTCAATAGATTTGAATGAGGTATAGTTGTCTCTGAACCTTAACACTGTGGCATCCAAATGGGTGTTTCTTGCTCTATGGGCAAAATTGCACCATTGAATTAAATAAATTATAAAAAATAAATTTAGTCGTTCTTTCATAAGTTTTTTAATGCTTTAGAGTTAAAATTTATTCAATAAAAAGTATTTATTTAACCTGATACATATTATAAAAAATTAATCACAAATTTTGATTTTGAGATGATTTCAGAGTAGTCTAAATGAAAACATTAGTGTTTATGAATTTCCTGAATTTATTTTTAGCATTTTTAGTTGAAATTGTTTTGTACAAAACTGCATCAGTTTGAACTTTGTAACTTCATTATAAATGTAGTTTTCTTGAATTTAATCAATCACTGTTTCTCAATCTCAATTGTCATGATGTTATATAAATTACCTACATCTCAGCTTTGAAAAGCCATAGGCTGAATTAGTGATCTAAACACATAATGAAAGTTCTTTTCTTTTTTTTTGTTCTGTTCAACTGTATAAGCCAGTTAGGCTTCCAGTTCAGTGCAGAATTATCTAGAGATCAGATCAAAGTGATAAAAGCTTAGTTTTGTGATATGATGCTAGAAGAAAAGGTGTTTGTGAACACCTGCCATGACAGTTCCAGTTCAAATTTTTTCTTCAAATTTGGATTATTATTTTATATTTCAATTGAATTATGATATTGCAGTATGATAGAGAAACAAATATTTTGTGTGAAACAAGATTGGATTGAGAATTGATAGGCTTCGTTAGATCATTTTGCACTATATAATATTAAGTTTCATTTCCCCGACAAGGCCACTGTTTGTTAGGCCTTATTGGCCTAAGTTACTGTTTGAATAAGCAGAAAATCACCAAAAAGAAATGTAAAAAAGTGTGTAAATGAAGCTTAAAACTTATTAAATATATCAAATGAAACCTTCTTATTAATAATTTAAAATGTCAGCTTACTTATAATTTAGGTGTTTTAAAATAAGTTTATGTCAGTGATCACAAAAACAGTGAAACTGTGTGCAGTGTTTTTTGAATAAAAACAATCAAAATTATAGTTTTATAAAATAAAAATTTTAATGGAATTCTGCTTTACAAGAATCTACAAAGACATAAATAGCCAGTAACTGAAAGTTACAAAAAATATAAGCATTTTGAATTTTTTCCTTAAAACATTTCACAAAGAAATTTTTTGGATTTTCAAAGCTAAGAATTCATACAAGTACCACATATATAAAAATAAGATATTTCATTTTACAGAAACTATGTATTTTGTAGATAGTTCTTCTCCAGTTCCAAACAATTCTATCCAGTATTTCTTTTTTATCAGTGCAATAAGACAAATATGACATGTGTGTTGAAACAATGCACGTAGGTGTTTCACAGTTAAGAGTTTCTGACCTGGCTTTTAAGACCATATGTTGCATAAGATGCCATTCAGGTTGAAAACATCGAATTCCCGGTATAAGATAAAATGTTGCTTATCTTTGACTTTATAATTTAGTTTTAATCATTTTATACTGAAAGAAGATTATAATTTCTGATACTTTTTGAATGAAAAGGTAGGTGTGAGAAGAAATGTTGAACAGGCTCTCTCAGTAAAACCTCTGCAGTATTTTAGCTCCTCTAGTCATTTATACTCGAACATCTGCTATTATCTTTTATTATACTAGACTTCTGGAAGTATTAATTTATTGCATTGATATTTTCAGTTTTTGTTTAGAATTTGATAGATTTTTTAATATACTATAAATTCTGCTTTTTTTATGCTATTGATATCTTTTAAATAGTAGAAGATATTTTTTAGTTTATTTCTGAACTATCTATTCATTTTGCATTTGAGGTGGTTAAAGATTTATCTTTTTTCGAATATGTGCTTCTTATGTTTTAATCTGTATTGCGAACTACATCCAGCTTTTCTTTGTCTCTCTCTTGTTTTCCATTGTTGATATGTCATGACAAGCATAATAACTGTTCTTGAAACACATTTTCTTTTCATTGTACTATGGATCTTTGTTGTCCAATTATGGGTTCTATCTCTCTACTGTTTTTATTTTTCAATTGTCTCTGTGTTAAGTTCATACTTGTTTGATTGCCTCTTTGGTAAAATTTTCCAGTAGTGTCAGTCACTTGACACTCCAATGCAATAGGCAGGCAGGGAATTCCAGCTACACTTATCTGTTGTTTTTATGTAAGGTGATTGTATTTTATTAATTGTATTATCTTTTAAGATAATGAGACCTAAATGGTGTCTCAGACTGGCATTGTTGCTGGGGCTTGTCGAGTGTGGGGCTCATTTTGTTGGGAATGTTTTGTAAAGTTCTTATGCGTTGTTGATAGATTGGTTTTGGTTGATTCTTTTTAGTCATCATGTGTGTTGTGCTAAGTGGTCTTCTTTTGGTGTCACATGGCTTGGTCAACACTGCCATGTCCTCAGAATGGCTGTTGGTTGCATGTGACCACCACCTCACTACAGTAGTTGTCACATTGAGTAATGCTAGACCATATAGGCATTTTTGAATGAAGAGATCAATTGTATGGCTAATGAACCATCACTTAAGAGCAAGAATGTTACAAGAGTATATTCAATATAACAATCTAAAGATAATGGAAGAAGCATTTTGATGAAGGAGTGTCTGTTTATTCAAAATATTTTTATGCAGTCTATTTATAAAATGCCAATTATACTTTGTACCATGAGTCACTTGCACTATGCTTCCAAGAGAAGCTGTTGTTTCCAATAACTAGGAACCTACTGTTTCAATTGACCTAGATTTGGTTTCAGCTAAGTCCAAAACCTGATGTTGGTAGTATGACTGAAGAGTGTTTTTATGTTTCTGACAGGGAGAACTATACAACTAAAGTAGATGTACAGAAGTGATTAATAACAGCCAACATCTCAAATGCAGTTATATTCACTAGATGATAATGATAATGATAAACCAGAAAGGCACTCGGAGAGTGCAACTCCACTCTCCCAATGTATTTTCATTTTGATGTAATCAACCAAAAATATACACTAAACAATTTCGTATTCTTAAAGTAGATACCAAGGATCTCTTTCTATCTCAATTTGTTCTCAAGTTTGACCATTTTTAAAATTCTAATTTATAAAGAAAGTGGTTGACCTTTAGTGTTACATTAACTTTGAACTACATTCACCAAAGTTAATTATTAGGTCACAGTGTCAAGTTTGATCAAAATTAGATGAAAACTTTTTGAATTATGTGATTGATCTTCAGTGTGACCTTGACCTCTATTCATGAAAAGTTAATCAATTGATCCTTGGGGGGAACACTCAACCTTTGTACCTAATTTGATTAAAATGAAATAAAACTTTTGAGTTATTCTGTTTATATATACAGTATTAAAAACATTATCCCTGCCATGGGGCAAGAGGGAAAAGTGCTTATCTGATGTGCATTTCTGGGTTAGCTGTGTTTTCAAATGAATATATTGTATGATGTATTGCCAAGGTTTTTCCCAAAGGTCCAGCTATTGAATAATGTTTTATGTTCTCCTAGCATAAAAAAATGAATTTATAATATTTTTTTGTAATAATCTCTGATGATTGTTACTTGTTTATTAATTTCATAATAAGGATTTATACTTCCTTCTAAACTATAAGTAAATTTAGTATGCATTTTATTTTTCATTTTGTTATTTATGTTCTGGCATGCGGATAATTACAATTTCAATACAATAATGTACCTCTTCTCACAATATAGCTTTCTTCGATTTGTACTGCCCTCCATAGGCACAAATATTTGCTTGCCACTAGCCTTAATGCTCCCACCTGCCTACACGTTTTTCATGTGGTATAGCTGCATTTTAGAAAGCAAATAAGAATGCAACAACCCTACATCAATAGGAGTGTGATCTTTTTTTTAACTTTCATTTATCATCTTTTCCATGAAGTTTCATTAATACTTCACATTGCAGTTATTTCATATAATTCTTGTGGTGTACTTATGCTCAGGAGAATTAACATGAATTCCCAGTTTCTAGTCACAACCACTACTGCTTCAGACACTGCCAATGAAGAACAGCCTACCATGGTGGCATCAGACTCAAAGTTATTGGCTGAGGAAGTTTTGGCCCTTGTTTGCTGGGAGATGGTATCTTTCATTCCAGTTGAGGGGTCTCCTGTACATCAACCACTGCTCTCCTTTCCAGGGGAGCTGGAACAGGATGATGAAGATTTGGACAGCTTTTTTCCTTCCCCTTCCTTTGCCTTGAACTCTCTTTGTCAGACAGTGGATGCACCACAACTTTTTTTTTCTCATTTTCTGGAGTTAGTATCACAGATATGTTCACCAACAACCCAATATTTTGTCCTTCCTCCTTCATCTGAAATTGGGGTCCATGCTGAACATTTCATCCAGCAATTGCACTTGGGGGTCAGCATGCCATGTTCCCCATCATTCGGAGTATCCTTTTCTGGCATGCAACAATTGGATTCGATCCTCCCTATATGGGATTCAGACCCTGAAACCTCTGCACACTATTCAAAACCACAGTTTTCTCACCTTTGTTTGACTTAAACATTTCACCTTCTTTACCTTTCTTCCATAACTTTTGTCTGAGGCTTTCTGTCATTCCCCTAAGGAGTTTTTGGCAGATTCCCATTCCCTCCTCTTATCCAAGTTGGCATACTTATTATAATTTGCCCAGTCCCTCCACATATGGCTCCTTTGTTGTTGGGACTTCTTAAGTAGGGATGCTCTTTTAACTCATGTACATGACCTCTTTACATCTCTGCATGATTTATGCTTGGCCTTCTTTTTACATCAAACTGTTTTTGGAGGTCTTTCTGTCTCATTGCAGTTGTGAGTGAAATCCGCCCATTTACATACACCATCAACAGTACTGGTGACTGTCTTGTGGGATTGGGTACAGTAGGGGCCAACTGCTTCTTTTTGCAGATACTTGGGAGTTGCTTACCACAGACCCATGGGTTTTCAGGTCTTATCAGAAGAACTATACCTTCGTTTCCTTTCAACTCCTTCCCTATCACCTTTTCCTGTTCCTTTCCTCCTTTCTTGGATCCTCTATCCAGCCAGCATTTTTCCACAGTGGTTCAGGATCTTCTCCTCAAGGGTGCTATAGAACCAGTAGTTTCTGCTCCTCCAGGCTTTTATTCCTGTCCTTTTGTGGTCCCATAGAAGACTGGGGATTGGAATCTTTTGATAGATCTCTCCAATCTGAATTGCTACATGGAAGTTCCTTGGTTCACCATGGAGTCTGTTCTTCACTTTTGACTTTTACTCTCAATCTTTAGATGATGAAGACTGATATGTCTGATGCTTACCTTCACATCACCATTTCCTCTGCATCCCATTCTATTTTCACTTTGACCACAGTTCCAGGCTCTCCCTTTTGTTTTGACCTCAACTCCCTACATTTTTTGTCAGGTGGTCAAGGCCTTTGTGCAACTTCTTCATTTGTACAGATTTGGTTTCCATTACTACATGGACAACTGGCTTCTTCTAGCTCCATCACTTTTCATCAACACACAATTTCTCCTTAGGGAAGCTGCTTGGTTGGGTTGGCTGGTCAACGTGGAGAAGTCTGTTCTTACACCGACTCAATAACTTGTTCCTCTTGGGGTATTCTTCAATTCCAATCTCAGTTGCACCCAGCCTTCTTCCCTTCGACTGCATTCCATGGAGCTTCTGATTCAGAAGGCTCAATCCTCACCTATTCTACCTGCAGGAGAAGTTTTTTCTCTTTGGGAACTTGAGCTTCCTTGGAGGCCTTATTCCCCTTGGCTGGACTCGCACTAGGTCTCCTCATTGGATACTTCAAGATTAGTGGAACCTCATCAGGGATCCCTTGGATTATGCCATTTCCCTTACTCCTTTCCACCAAACTGATTTTGCCTGGTGGCTGGACAGGGACAACACATTCGCTGGTGTCCCTCTTCCTCGACCAGAGGTGCATCTTTTTATGGATGCTTCCCTGTTGGGCTGAGGGGCATATTGCATTGCCCAAGAAATCTCGGGCCATTGATCATTAGTTGAGTTGACTTTCCATATCAATCTTTTGGAACTTTGGGCAGTTTGTCAGGCAATGACTCTTTTTCCTGATGGCTTTAAGAGGCAAAACAGTAATGATCTATTCTGACAACTCGACAGTTGTCTCTTACATCCCTTGGCAAAGGGGCACTCAGTCACGATACCTGTGTTTTAACACATTGAACATCCTGTTCTGGGCCCAAATCCATTGCATTTGTCTGCTGGATTGTCATATCTCTGGTGCTCTCAATCCTGTTGCTGATCATTTAACCTGTTCCAACAAGAATATCTCCACAGAGTGGTCCCTCAACCCTCAGGTTTTCAAATGGCTATGCTCTCAGTTGGTACTTCCCAGCTGGATGCTTTTGTCACCCACCTGTACTCCAAACTACTTCTGTTTTGGTCCCCTGTTTCTCATCCTTCAGCTTTGGCAATAGATGCCCTCAATCAAGATTGGATGGGCCTTTATATTTATATCTATTCCTCACCCCATTTGTCTTCTTCCCAAGGACCTATCCATTGTCCAAAACCACTCCATGTTAGATCCTTCTGATGGCCTCATACTGGCTAGCTCAACCTTGGTTCTCAGAACTTCTCCATCTTCAGTTGTCACCTCTTCCTCTTTCCAATTCCCTACTTCATCAACCTCATTTGGTGGTGCTTCATCCATCCATCCACACACTCCAACTTCATGCGTGGATTTTGTCCTGTCCTTTGCGAGAGATTACTGATTTTCCACACAGGTAGTGTCTTTTCTTTCCCACTCTTTCTGCCTCTCTTTTATGTCAGTATACCAGCATAAGTCTCATATTTTCACCATTGGTCTCTCCATTGGGGTTAAACCACTTCCTCACATTTCTGAATTTTATACTTGGCTTTTTGACAGTAGTATTTCTTTTTTGACCATTGCTGGTTATAGAGCTGTGTTATCCTCTAAATTTCATTTTTTTTTCATTTCGCCATGTTCTTCCCTTTCTTGTTATTTCCTCATGTTTCGATCTTTTTGTCTCCATCATCTAAAGAATATACCTGGTTCAGATGTGGTGTGGTCTCCCACCAGTGTGTTTCCTCTATATTGAGATGGCACACTCCTTGGGTACTCTTGAGAAGATTTTTATAAGGGGGCTTTTCTAGTTAACTTTTACACCAGGCCCTCCTCGTGGTCAATGTGGGATTTTAGCTAGTTTGTAAGAGGAGGTAATTTATCATATTGGAAGTAAATATATTCCTGCACTGAAAATATATTTGCAATAGATATTTACCTCCTCTCAAACTTCCTATCCACCCTCCTTACTTCTGGTGTGTTTTTTATTCCTAATGTTATGGTGAAGATTGGGTTTTGCTGCATAGAGGGAGTCGGCTATGCTTAGAGGGTGTGTCACACTCCTGTTGGTAGAGAGTTGTTGAATGCTACAGGTAGGTGGGAGCATAAAGACTAATGGAAAGCAAAAATTTGTGCATGTAGAGGGCATCACTAATTGAGGAAAGCTATTTTGTAAGTAGAGGTAAGTATCTATTGGAAATATATTTTCAGTGTAGGAAAATATTAACATTAGGAATTGTCACAACAGAATTAAATAAGTTTGGTTTCTACTTCTCCTATGACTTATAAGATTGACCAGGTAAATGAAACACGAGGAAAGCAGATGAATTACTCTGTTGTTTTTCATGTGTATTACAAAAAGTAATGTAACGATAATCAACAAATATTTTTTTAACTAACATGAAAATAGTTGGGTATAAATTTTTTAAATCCCACTTGCATTGCTAACCTATGAGTCAACTATTTATGAGAAATGCTAGTTTTATCTTATGAGTGGGAGAGAAGAATATGTTTAAAACAATTTTATTAAAAAATTAGAGATACTGAATAGGAGTTTTAATTTTTGCAAAAGAGTTCAGTTAGGGACATTTTTTGTTTGTTAAATAGATGGAGCTCCTTCGATCATCTCTGCCAGAAGGAATTATTGTCAAAGCGTTTGAAGACAGAATGGTAACTCATTAGAAACAAACATAATGTCATTACATGTTTTAATAACTTAAACATTTACAACATTATTCAGTTTTATATGGATATCTAAAGTAGGTTTAAAATTCTTATTTTAGTGAAGTAGAAGTCAAAATGCCTTATTGATGTTGAAGTATTTTGTATCTTTTATTATTTTCCTGAGATTTATTAAAATATACATTTAATTGTAATCTTAAACTCTTATCAATAGGAAGTTTCCAGCTCCCAAACATTTTGTTTTATTTTACTGCAAACTTTCAGCCTCTTACCTTCTTCAGGAAGACTTTACATAGAATTTTTCACAATAAGATAATTTAATAGTCAACACTATTGATACAATAATATAAACTTAAAATATGGCCTTGAGTGAAACAAAAATGTAGGAAAGTTGTAACACAGTAAACTGTTTTTAAAATTACAATATATTCTCATAAATTTTATGTATACACACAGTGCATGGGAGAAACTTACCAACAGGAAAATAAACATAATGCATCACGTTAAAAATGTTTTACTCAAGTAAAATCTGTGTAGACTGGAGATAAAAATATTTAGTAATAGTTCCAAAAATTGTACATTACATTTTTCAGCACAAAGAATTTTCCATATGTTTTATTAAAATAACCCAACAATTTTTAATAGGGTGTCTAAAGATTCAGTACTCTATGATGTAGACCGCTTTAATGTTCTTTAATGTTTTTATTTTTTCATATTCTGTTTTCTGCCAGGAATTTGATATTTGTCAGAATGATGTTTTTAGTTGTTGGTTTTATCATGAAAAGTCACAGTAGATATGTGAGATAAGGAATTATATTTGTATTTCCTTATGGTTTTGTTTACTGTTCATTTATTACTCTTTCTATCACTGAGTTAAGCTGTGAATTTTTAGTTACATTTAAATGATGAGTCACCTTCTAGCTGATAACATTGATTTTGTAGTTGTGTAAATACATAATATTATTTTGGAATTAGGTTTTTCTTCTGGTTCTTTTTCCTAATACCTTTATTTATTGAAATAATTAATAACCCTGATATTTATGATATTGTTCTTTAATATTAGTAGAAAGTCCTGGTCAGACACATATTTATCAATTCTGTTTTAGGGAGATATAAATCTTATATTCTATCTGTTTGAAAGTTTGAATTTTTTATTTCTGTGGTTGTTAAAGTTTAATAAACAGGTTGTAGTGGCTACTTATTTGTGGATTAGTCCATTACAGATATTTTAATGTTACAATTCTGATGTTCCTTTAGTTCTTAGAAAGATTTGCATAGAATGAGTTGGTCTGGGTGTGAGCTTAGAAAAAACATCCTGTAATTAAAGAGCATTAATATCATTGATTTGGTTTTATATTTGCTTCTTAGTTTCTTCCTCAAGTACTTGGTGTGTTCCAACACTTTCTTGTTTGTTTAACTGAATGTGCATGGGGTAGTCCATTAGACTGACCCCATATCGAAGAAGGAATGTTAACTGTAATTGCAAATTTGCTATGTGTGTCTACACAAAATATAAAAAGTTTTTATAAAATGTACATATCTGTTGTACACAAAAAAATCTGTATGTTACAAAAGTATTTGTACTCAAGATGTGTCTGTGAATCAATGATGTAAATCTGATTCAGACTCTGACAAGTTGGTATGCAAGATGATGTTCATACTTTTATCCATTGTACAATTTGAATATTGCATTTGCATAACTTCTAGAACCTCCAAAACACATATCTACAGTTTGTTTCAGTATCTGTATATTTCATCTCGTATTTACTCTCTTCCACCATGAACTATCACTAAATTAGTAATATAGGGTAAAATGAATAGTTGATAACTCTGTAAATGGTCATGGCATGTGCCCTTTGACCACCACCTGTGCACGTAGGATTAATATTTTGGAAGGAAAATATTGGCTCTTGTTTCAGACTTTTTCTGTTTATTTAGAGGGAGAATCTTATTCTTTCTTTTAGATTTCATTGATCTTATTTAAGTCTGACTTCTATAAAACTGAAGTAAATGAGAATCTAACATTTTTCTTCCTGTATTACACTTTCTATATTATGTTTTGTGATCTCTCTTCAGGATCTTTATTCAGTAATGATAAAAGGACCAAAACGCACACCGTACGAGGATGGTCTTTTTTTCTTTGACGTCCAACTACCTGCAGATTACCCTAATAATCCACCTCTTTGTCATTACATATCATATTGTTCTGACAGATTAAATCCAAATCTCTATGAAGGAGGAAAAGTCTGTGTTAGTTTGCTGGGAACTTGGGCAGGAAAGGTTATAAGCTACTGTTTTTGTAATTTTAATACTTCTTTTTAGGTAAAGAAAAATATGTTTTTAAATATTTGCCATGTATTACTGGTTTTAACTTAAATGATATAAATATTTTACAAGCTTTTATTTTGATGACTAGCATTCAGAAATCCTTATATGACCTAATATTAAATGCAGTAAAATATTACACAAGAAACTTAATAAATAAAGTAGAAAAACAGCTGTTTGTCTGTGTGTTTAATGTCAAGCTTAATAAAATTTCTTTAAGAGCTGTGGACCTGTAAAAATTTTGTTTGAGAAGTTCAAAAACTAGTATTTTGTTTATTTTATAAACTAATCAAAATTAAAAGGATTTGGATATTTCCAATTTAAAGTGATTTGTATGTTTCTTTTCAAAAGAGAGTTTATTGTTTCAAAATGTTGCATACAATTGGTTAGTTTGTGTACTCTTAATTATGTGAATCTAACTGTATACAGTGTAAATATGTCACATTCAAAGTGTTCTGTTAATGTTTTGCTTGTTTGTTTTGTCTTTTTTTTTTAACATTTGCATGACTTATATGAGTTTGATAGTTTTTGTAATTCTTATCAATTTATATTTCTTCTCTGTTACTTTGAGTTTTGTTGTAATGAAAGACAGTCTTCATTCACAGGGTACAGAAGTTTGGTCTTCCAAAACTTCTAATCTGCTTCAAGTAATTGTATCAATTCAAGGTAAATACTTCACAAATTCTGAATTTAATTTTATATTTGCTAACTGATCATAGAGTAATAAAATCCTGTTTTCTTTACTAAAAACATCAAAAGAAATAGAAACTTATTACAAAAATATATTAAAAAGAGCTTAGAAATGGAAAAATTCAAACTATTTACCAAAATGAAAATAAATCGTTAGGGCAAATTTATGCCAGTTTAAATGATCTGTAAAAAAAGGCTGAGGTTTAAGTAATTTTTTAATATCCAATAGGCCTTATACTAGTAGCTGAACCTTATTACAATGAAGCTGGCTATGAGAGACAACGTGGAACCCAGCAAGGCAAAGAAAATAGTAGAATGTATAATGAAATGGTCATCTTGAAACTTATTCAGGTAAGTTAAAGAAATAACTCTTTTTTTTTTTTTAATCAGCAGGTTTAAAAATAAAATTCAGTATTAAAATGTAATGTCTGTACCTTTTATTGGAAGAGAAATAATAATGCTGTTAAGTTTACATTTTTTCTAGTAAATTTAGAAGAAAGTACCATCTTATTTATCTCCAGCCAGTAGAACTATTTCTCAGTTTACCAAAAGGTACAAGGAATGCCATCAGTATTTTTATGTGGTTTCAGTTTGTTTAATATTAATTTTTTTATTTAGAAATAATTATCTCAAAGCTGAAAGGTTTTATGCTTTTCACTCATTGAGTTGCTGAAAAATTATATTAATAGGTCAGCTGGTTTATATAATGGAGCACAAAATCTGATTTTACAAATGCCGTTATATTATAATTCATTCAGAGCATGTTTGTGTGGTAATCCATTGTTTTTCCTTCTTCCTCAAGCATGAATTGAACCCAGCACCTCTTACATGCTAGATGAGTGCTCTATAAGTGAGTTAAAGGGTTAACCCACTAGCAGTTTTTAATAAGGCACTTTGAAAAAAAACTAGCTCATTCTTCTCCATGTTAGGTATCAATTTTTCTGTGGTAATCTAAATTTTGTATCTCCTGATCTCAGGATTGAATCCAGAATTACTTGCATGCTACGCAAGTGACAAGTGCTTTGCCAAGTTTTTTTTAAAGAATTACCTCATTAGTGCTTTGCTAGTTTTTAACAACTCAGACCTCCATATTTAGTTATTTTAATTTTTTCATCATAACTTTGAAATGGGCTACAGAGATGAATGATTATTACTGAAGATACCCAGATCAGTCAGTTACTTGTAATGTTGCTAAGTGTATACCAACCCACAGGTTTTGTAAAGCTGCTCACCCGTATAAGTAGTGCTTGGTGTAAAATCACCAAACGTATATTATATTTCTCTAAATTGCAAATGATATGTGGAACCTCTAAATAAAGTCATTTTTTTGTTCTACTTTGAACATGTATTCATCTGTATAAATTGTATATACTAGTTGCATGTTGATTGCTACATCATAAATATTAGTTGTTCTGGACTTCCCAGCATGCATATACCAGTTCCTGCTTTTGACGGTGGTAATCACTTGTGTGAGTTTGTTTTATATTATTACGACAGCGGAAGTCACGTGACACTGGTAACATGTCATGAGATTCTCAAAAGATCTTGACTTTTCCTGGCAACTCTCATCTTTTCTAGGTGCCCTCTTTTTTGTATATAAGCCCAGCAAATAAAGCGGAGATATAATTGCAGATAGATAGATATATATAGAGACAGATAATTGAGTCAAGCATGCCGTAGTGACCCTAAGTAAAGTGCGTGAATCGTTGTGAATTATAGCATGTGTTTAAGTTAAAGTGACTGTGGAAATTCTGTGTATTGCAAAGTTGTATTGAGAAAGAATAAACTAGTTATTTAAGAAAGGACTT